TCATGATATTGAATTTATAACATACAACGAAACGAGGACATCATAATCATAAAGACGTTCGTTGTGCAGATATGTATTTGCTTATTAATACATACAGTGACAAAAAGAATAATGCGCTATAATCATGAGCAAAAAACCAAGAGGTTTCGGAGAAAGGTAAAAAATCATCCGAGCAGTCAATTAGGCAATTCTTCAACAATCTTTAGTATCAAAAAGTGAAAAGGTTTAACTGTCGTGATAAAAATGAGCTTGTCATAGAGATTTATTATACAAGTGAGCATCGAAATGTTTCTTTAACGAACTGCTATAAAATTTTGAAACCAAATACACTTGTGCTGAAATTTCATATCCTCAGTATCGAGAAGCATAATGTTCCATTATGGTTGCATCAACTGTTGTAAAATAGATTAAGTCCTTCGATGTCTTGTAATGCCCTAATTACTCGGCTAATTATTATCTTTCTAAAGGATTTTAGATTTGAGAGTTTCTGTTTCTTTCGTGTTACATGCCATGGACATTCAATCATCACGGCTTGATGTGTTGTGGGGAAATAAATATTGTATCCTATACGTATACAGATCATATTAAATCGAATAAAAGTTTGATGAAATTCAATTCTTATCTTGCCAGAATCATCATTTTTTTAAATACCGTCTTTATAACGAATTCCAAGAAATATGCCGTCTGCCTAAACAACCACCCCCCCCCCCTATTTCAAATTTGACGTCTGAGCCCCGGCCACTCCCTATTTTCAAATCCTTGATCTGCCGTTTGGGGGGGGGGGGGGCAAGAAATAGGCAAAGAAAGTTGAGTAGACCTTGAGATTATGCACGGAATAAATGTAACAAAAACAATATTTACAACATTCTATTCTTGCTTTAATACCTCAAAAATATTTAACGGTCAAACCAACAAAATGTATGTTTTCCCGGCCTTTCCTTATAGGCCTAGGCCTACACCATTTTTCTAAACGCGTTCGAGTTTATTTCGTCTATGCAAATAAATTTGGTGGCGGAGTAACGCCTTTAACAGAGGCTATATTTGTCGACCTTACCCGACTTTCAAATGGAGAATCTCACTTTTCGGTGAACGGGGACCGAAATACCCCACTTGCGTGTCTGGTATTACAGACCGCTTTCTTTCCCGATATCTTCGTGTACACCAAGCTTCGTGAGAATGAGCAATCTCAGAATCTGGATGAATGTTGTCCTTGTAGTGTGAGGTTCATGAGTAATTATTGTTATAAACTACGACATATAGTATGGATGATAATGTTTGTCAAGTTTATTGCGGACTATGTCATCCTCATAAAAGTATTAGATCAAGTAAAAAGGCTTCAATTAAAATAGTTAAACATGACCAGAAATCATTTCGATGTTAAGATATTTTTGACAATTTTAGACAATATCATATTTAATTGTATATCGAACTAGACAATTAAGATGAAACTTGAAAGGAACATAATTATAACCAGGCAGTTCCTGATATAACTATGCTTATAAAGTGAAGCAAGGAAGATGAAACTGGCATCTCCCATGTATACCGGTAGCTATGAGAATGGACATAATCCGAACCTATATGAGACTGCGAATAAGACTAGAACATCATGGAGGAGTTCCAAGCAGTACTTATCAAGGTTGGGCTGGCGATGTCCTGGCAAAGTTTGTTTATACTGCAGATTAGGGACTCTAACTCTCTCTTGCTCTGTGGTGAGCTTACCACCAAAATGCACCCCACTTTCGGGTCCAAAGTGGGGTGAAGTTTAAATGGACTGTTTTCGTCATGGAAAAATGCGGAGGAACTCCGCCTAAATCGGGGTGGTTGGCAGGTATGGATAGGGTTAAGCAGCGAAATGCCTGAATGCCCTCATATTTTATTCAACAGCGAGGAGATAGAATATTGTCATATTTGGGCAGAATTGTCCGCAGCAAGGTGCCCGAATATATTTTGTATTTTTGTCTACATATATCTAGTACATTTCTACCATAATAATTTTTGTTTGATGCAAGACCTCATTGAGGAGTGCCAGAGTAATGCAAAATGTATCTTCTTTGACAAATTTGGAAGTGGGGTTACGCAAACTTATTATTTCTTAAAAGGGTGCCGTGACTGAAAAAAATAAAAAAAAACACTGAGCTAGTGAATGGCACAGCGCAGAAAACACACCCGATTAGATTTAGATAATACTTTACTAGTAATGTACTAGGCTACTAGCCCATCGATTGTTTATATTTTATTTTTTTCGCCTAGTTGGTAACAAAGTGTCATTCATGGAAAAAGCGTCAATAATATTAACGATAATTTATTAGTATTTCTATATCGCAACCTCAGGTTTTCAAAAAGAAACAAATATTTCCCATCTCTTTTAATATACTTCTTTTATTTTAAAATGAATTTTACCCGAGATGGAGAAGCTGGATCAGCAATCTCTTTGTAGTAATCATCATGAAAGGAACATGAGCTAATCATCAGGTCTGTAAGATGAGGCAGGAGACGGAGAAACTTCCCCAGACATAAGGATGCTGATTGATCATCGTGTAGGTTTAAACAGTAGACCTTAAACGTCTGAATCTGTGCATGGAAATACCGGTAAAAGAAAACACACATGAATCATGAAGCATCATGTGGGGAATATAATGGAAGCCTCAATATAGTCTGTAGTCTGTACAGAGAAACTTCTCCCAACCAGAGGAAGCTGATTGGTAATCTTTTAGTTATAGGAATGTCTGATTGGTGACAAAGTGTCATTCATTTTTTATTTTTATTTTTTATTTTTTTATTGCTTCAAAGCAAAGACATTTACAATCGTTGTTCATTATAACATTCGATCAGCATAACAAATACAATACAATACAATTCAAAGTAAACAAATGAACATGTAAAAGAATTAATCAAATATCAAATCAAATTAAATTAGAGGTCTCCACTTTTGTTTGTGTGTATTCTGTTTCCTTTTCTGAATACAATTATATGTTCTATTTGTTGAAGAAAATCTAGTTCTTTTGTAAAACGTAAAAATGGAAGATTTTTTTCTTCATACTTTGTTTTATACATAAAGTATTTTGCATAAAATATAATTGTATTTATAAGATGGTGAGTTTTTTGGCCAAAACCAAAACAAGTATCTAGGTATCAAATTTGTGAGTGTATACATTTTTTCTTAATAACCAAGCATTTATATCACACCAAAATTGCTGAATTTTAGAACATGAACAAAACAAATGCAATAAACTTTGTGGTTCTTTTTTACAGAAATTACAGACCGGAGAGTTGCATGTGTATGCCGATTTTATACAAATAATCATTCGTCGCCAAACGATGGTGGATGAATTTAAATTGAAATACACGAATATTTGTGTCTAGCGTTACCCAATATATAATTTCAAATCTATTCTGCCATTGAATTAAGTCTCTCATATTTACATTCAAATCATATGACCATTTTTCACACTGATTCGTATTCAATAAATGTGAACAAAATGTAGACACTAACTTTTCGTAATAGGGTTTGGTTACTTTTTTAAATCTAATAAATTTCATATATCCATCTTCTTCTTGTTCTTGTTCTAAATCACCTATTTTCAATATTCTTTTCCATGACAAAGTATCATTCATGGAAAAAGCAAAAAGAATATTTACACCAATATATTTATATTCCTATCCCGCAACCTATCTTTTTTTATCTGCTTCTTTAAAAAAGTTGTCTTTACCTGAGATGTAATAGCTCGATCAGCAATCTCTTTGTAGTAATCATCATGAAAGGAACATGAGTTAATATTCAGGTCTGTAAGATGAGGCAGGAGACTGAGAAACTTCCCCAGACAGTAGGATGCTGATCGATCATCGCATAGGTTTAAATTGTCAACCTTAAGCGTCTGAATCTGTGCATGAAAATACAACAACAAAAAAACATACCGGTACGTGAATCATGAAGAATAACAAAATTTGATGAGCAAAATACTTGGTATCTGATTTTGGGGTTTCTTGTATTTTCTGTGTAAAATATATATACCCACATAATGACCACTATATACAAAAATAAACTATTAGGAATAGGGCTGAATTGCATTTATCCAGACACAGAGAAAATTCTCCGACAACAGAATCCTGATTGGTCATAGTTTATATATAGAATCTCTTTTGTTGGTAGAGTAATGGTAATAATATTATAGTGGAAACCCTTCAATCTGTTTTTAGTGGTACTTTGTACAGCGCACCTCCCCCCCCCCCCCCCCCCCCTTCCCTTGAAGGGGAACAAAGTCATCATGTTCAAGGGAAAGCATCCATAGGATTATGGCCCTATCCTATCAGATCATATGGATAAGAAAATGTCATCGATGATGGTGATTGCTGTACTTGTAAATTTCCAACCATTCATGTAATGTATGTTTGTGTATAGAGTAGACACCCCCCCCCCCCCCCCTCCATACACAAACCTATAAATGAAATGAATATAACTGTATGTGGATAGAACCTTTTAGAATTTAATCAACGTGTATTTGCCTCTCGGACTGCCAGAGATGCGGTAGGGCCTCATGGTGGTCAGACTAACACTTATATTTTGGGATAAAATTCACTTTGTGAACATTACAATGCTAGTCAGCAGAAGTGATTTTTCTCTCCTTTCTTTGCAATTTAATTTGCAAAATATACAAATGTCAGCATGAAAGACACACATGAGTGTTTGGAGAGCAATGAAGAAAAAGTATAATGTCTAGGATTATCCAAATAAATCTGGTTAGACTTGAAGGCTCTCCTCTCCTATATACATCCAAAAATTAAAGGGCATCTAATTATAAAGAGAGCACATGAATCACGGGGACGAGAAAGAAAGTGAAAAAAATAGAAGGAACTGGGAGAAAAAAAGAAAACTAGAAAAGGGACTTTCATGGTCAACTAAGAGATGAAAACTGAGAAAGAGAGATAAATAGCGAGAGAGAGAGAGAGAGAGAGGATGGGGGGAAAATGTAAAAAAGCAGCTTCACGCCTTCACTAACCTTTGAATCCACCTCTCTGCCATGAAGGTCTGGAAAACGTTTGTCACTTGCAATATTTATGCCTGATTCGAGTACTTCCAAATAACCGACACATGTTCGATGGCAAAGTGCATCCACCATATCTACTGTTAATGGTCCAAATGTGAGTATCCTTGTAGTAACCTGAGTACCACATACTATGCTCTCTTGTGATGATGCGACCTGATCACCAAATGTCATAACTGTGCTCTTTTGTTCCTGTTGAAAAGAATAGATGCTGGTTGCTTATTTTAAAAAAAACCTTGAAGGGAATACCATGACATCGCATAGTGAACACACAGAACTAGGTATTGTCAATGTTTTGGAAATACATATATTCCCAAATACAACCAAGCATGTTATCTATGGTAACTACCTGATAATTGATTCATGTACTTGATGTCCTTCCTGGTATCCTCTCCCATTTGACAGTAGAAAAATTCATTAATTTCCATTGTCTTAGTTGCTGATGAAAGAATTTCTTTTCATACAGGCTGTGTGTAGGAGCATAGTGTGCAAGAATTTATATGTAGGGGACATGTGTGATATTGCTTTACAGAAAATACATTTTAGTATAGAGGGAATGGTAGAGGACCTCGCAAGAACCTTCATATCGATGTCAATTTCTCTTTGATTGCTTATACATCTCAAAATAACCAATAATTATACTATTCTCTATCAGGTTTTGCATAAACATTCACTAATTTGTTACTCTAAATTCCCTGCTCTCATCAAAATCAACTGAATATCAGGGTGAACTTCTCTTTAAGTAGCATATTTTCATTTTTAAAAGTTCTTTAGGACCAACAAAGTCGATATGCCAAAGACATTTACCATGTCATGTTGAAGTGTAATTTTCATCCTGTTCTCGGTAGTTATTTCTTCAGCCAGGGGGTCCAATTCTTCATCCGTATAACAACTGATGATACTATATGAAATATATGTTCAAGGAAAGCAAATATTCAAACATTTTGAATCACTGAATGTTTAAAGGAATTAAAGAAGAAATTACACTATATATATTAGATTGTATTATGATTCCTCCAAACAGGTTTATGCCAGCTACTGCATGAGGTTTTTTTTTATTATCAGTTTTGTAATAATTTTCGTTTACGTTTCAAACAGTTTAGAAAATGATTGATTAGTCTTTACTATCAAAACAAAAATAGCATTAAATGTGAAATAAAAATCCCATACATTGTAAATGTTTTAGGTGGCTATGTACGAATGAACACCGATGGCGATGGTTTAATCATTAAGAAAAATTTTATTATGTAGTTTATATCACCGACCCTTGAATTAATTCTGATGAAAACAAATTTAATAATTGACAACGCTGTTAGAAACACAGTTCTTACCCTTTGAAAATTACTCTTGGGATAATTCTGATTGCTGTCAGAAATTGAAATCATTTACTTTATTTTGGGGTATTTTTGTTATACATAAATACAGGTGTATTGGCTCAACCTTGTTTAAAATTAGCTAATCTATTTTTTTTTAATTAACATGTATTGTTATCATTGTTGTTATTATCATCATCATTATTATTATTATTATTATCATAATTATTATAATCATCAGTATCATCATTGGAAAGAGTGACAATTTCTGCAAACATGGCCCTGAACGTACCTTATTGATTTCAAATGGAGGTGGTTCTTTAGATTACGAAGTATTGCTTCACTGCGTATGTTGCCCATTACTAGCTCTCGGAAGGTCAGATAGGTGAGTCGTGGGAATGAACTGGAGAAAAGTTGCCCCAGTGAAGTAGGTTCTCCAATGAGAGGAACTAGATCTTTCCCTTTCTTACCATGCTCAATAGACAACACAGCTAAGCTTGCATGTGCCAACTGTTCAACATCTCCCGGTAAGACAGTCTGAAGAGTGGTAAAAGTCAATTGTGTCAAGCTTGGGAAAAGGTCCCCAATGGTCACGTTAATGTCATCGATATTAAACGTCTGTAGACCATTTAGGAATCGATGATCTACGACCAGCTCTTTTATTGAGGATTTATTTCCCTGAATGCGAAATGACAAAAAAGAAGAGTATTTCTTATAAGTCTTTTAAATAATATCAGACTCTAGTTATGATGCGTATATTCTCCACATTAAAATAAAAAAGATTGTTAGTATGAAAACGAATGGCAGTTTAGTCGTATTTATCAATGCCATACAGACAGAAATTCCCATTCTAATGAAAAGAGAAAACAAGTCTAAATACAACCCTATTCTTGATGGAGCAGATATGTTTTTTCCCTAAAGATGTGAGTTGTGTTTTCCAATCATTGCTCGAAGGAAATGCTGGGAAAAATGCTTCACAAAAATGCTTTTCTTCTTTTTTCCCCCTAGCTAGTAGGCACCCTGCCAACTTTTCATTAACTTCTTTATTTAAAAAAACACCTTTTTAAAGGGAAGTCCACTGTTATGTCCTGAAAACGTACACAAAGAAATGATAAAAATAACTCGCAAGTAGTTATGAGAATCAACAATATCGCCACCTTTGTACTCTGTAGTCTTGACTTCAGACTTTCATACATTTTCTATAGTGATATTAAGGTGGTTTTAAAGCTTATCAGTACTAGTTTACAGGAGGGATTAGACCGCCCTGCAAGGTCACTGGACAGGTGGTTATCTCATCAGCTCAGCTCTTAGTTAACATAAGAAAAAGAGGATCATGGGGGACCAATGGTCACCGATTAGGCATTGTTTAATATAGAGAGGGCGCAAGTAGCTACAAGTAGTGCAGTGGGCCTTTAATAGAAGCAGAAAAATAAAAGAAACATGTCAGTGAAAGTTTGGGCAGATTCTAATGAAAAATAAGAAACTTTTATTTCCCCTCAGGAATATTTTCAATCATACATGTACCCTAAATAATTATTACAAAATTATGTTTCTACATTGAGCCCCTGTGTGGAAAAAAATCTATTCCGTCATCAATAAGAAAGAAAATGAAAGTTTATGAAATTTTAGGTATAGAGCAAAGTGGAGAGGAGCTCGCAAAATACGTCACAGTATTGTGTCTGATTGATCACACCTTCAAAAATTCTTAGTGTTAATTGGAATTTGCTCAAACTTTCACTGACCTGTTATCTCATTTTTTCTCCCTCTATTAAAACTAACTTAAGTCAGGGTGCACTTCCCTGTTAAAGAATATGGTTAGTTATCGCATCTTCTATCTTATTCCTGTTTTGTCTATAATGCAGATGCTTTTATGCGATTTTTAAAATTTGATTTCAACTGGATTCAGCACCTTAGAAGTCTCATATATTATTATTATTATTATTATTATTATTAAAGTCGAATTTTTAGTTCTTGCCATACTAAATCATACATACAGAAGTATTGACTGTCATTTGGGAGGATTTATACTTAAATGTTCATATTTTTAAATTCTTTTCATCTTTTAACACTTTGTCTGTTTCTTTGCCTCTCTAAACGGTCCGTTGGTCACATATGCAATTTTCCACAGATTGACCAAAGGAACATTGACAATATGCACCGATTGACCAAAGGAGTGCTTTGAGCAACTTTCCGGCTTTGCATAATTATCAATTTTTTGGTTTGATTCGCTACATGGCAACCCTTTTAAAGGCAGAGTATTAATAACGGCGTTGCTACGACCGCATTAATGAATTCTAAATTGCGCCATCTTTTGGTTTGCCTAGCTGGGTGTACATAGAGTGATTTCCGGTTCCTGTGCCCGTGCAAGCATCATCACTGATGGCTCATATGTTGGTGATGCATGGTCTGTACGGCTGAACAGACACATATATGAAGGGATGGATATCAAGAGCAGCAGGTGGCAGTATATGCAAAACTGAGGGAATGTCAGCAGAATACCATGCTTTAAACACCACTATAGTCATGCACTGGAAACAGTTAAATAATCTTGAAGACTTTGTTATTATGTCTATCTCATGATGCACAGCCACAGGGAGGTCATTTGTGTGGTATACATGTATAAAATTATGCGACTTTTGAATCAGGGTCAATTGCAAATAGTTCTTACACTGAATTCTAGCAAGTTATATTGTTATGTACGGAAACCCACAACAAAAATTTGATATAAAACATATTTTATGGTATAAAAAAGTTCAGTGATTTCAGGTTATGCAGGAGTACAAAGAAAGTTGCATACATTTAAAATACTATTTTAAGTCTATAAATCCCTTAATAAACAGGAACCTCAATACCTACATGATTGTTTGAACCTATACACCCCTCGCAGGCATCTACGAGCCTCCAGTGACCCACTCTGTCTTACATACATCACAAGGAAACTAGCTGGAGATACTGTAGGACCTTCACTATGACTGCATCTAAATATTGGAATAGGCTACCTTTAAAGGGCATTGGTAACATTGTTCAGATGAGAGATAGTGGTTCTAAGGTAGTGACTGCAATGCTAGATGTACAATTAAAGATAATCTGAAAATTTGAGTGAAAACTGACCATTATTCATGGTACAAATTGGGAAAAACTGATCTGATTGATTCCTTAATTCTCCCAACTATATTATTACAATTTAATTACATTTTAGGTGAATGTAAAACGTCACAAAGCAATAAAATGGCTCTACATTCCATTCCAGACATTTAAGTGTTGACAGATTTTTTATAGCCTGTTTTATGTCTTTTTTTTCATGGAAAAACGGTTGGGAAAATTCAAAAATGGTTGAGAGAATTTACTGTTAATCACTGTTAGATGGTGTCATACATTGGCGCCTTCAAAGAAAACAGTAAATATTTTCGTGGTTTCAGAATTTGTTAAGGATTTTTTGCATGTCAGAGGGTTAGTACAGTAGAAGGAATATACCGTAAGTAACACTTTATACAAAAATTAAGCAATTTTTTCATCAACCTTCAAGAATGTTACCGAGTCACTTTAATACTCAGGCAATCATCCTCTGTCTCTTCATTCATTTATTTTCTGTGTAAAATTTATATACATGTACATGTATAATAAAGACAAACATATTCAAAATCAACTATTAAAAATACATCTGGAATCCTCTAATCCAGACACAGAGAAACTTCTCCCAAGGCAGAGGAAGCTGATTGGTAATCTTTTAGTTATAGGAACGTCTGATTGGTGACAAAGTGTCATTCATTTTTTATTTTTGTTTTTTATTTTTTTATTGCTTCAAATCAAAGATATTTACAATCGTTGTTCATTATAACATTCGATCAGCATTTAACAAATACAATACAATACAATTCAAAGTAAACAAATGAATATGTAAAAGAATTAATCAAATATCAAATATCAAATCAAATTAAATTAGAGGTCTCCACTTTCATATGGCTCTGGTTGACTCATTTTCGCTCGCTGGAACATTGCCAGCACAAACCACTGACCTCTCTGCCTCCTGGATGGATCATCGCCCATTCCCATTCATTATACGTTACATACTAAAAGGCTGTATTGTCTGACCGTTCATGAATATTCATGTTTTTGCTTACCTCGGCAAAATGTTTGCTTTTACTAAATGGAAAAATTACGGTGGGGGTTTGGATGAAATGGACTAAATGAACCAAGCAGAATTTATCTATGATAATTCATGCTTCTTATCCTTCGTGTGCTTGACCTATAATGTTCAAATCGCTTGGCAAACTGAGTCCAAAGTTCGACTTGTTTCACATGTGTATTATAGGCAATGACGAACTTGCAACCTATTTTTACGAAATGACGGTGGGTGAACTTTCAAAGGTCAATGGGACATGGGGGTTCCAATGAAAGAGCTAGTGATAACGTACGTCGGGGTGGATGTGCTTTTCGTTTAAATAAACAAGGGAAACGCTCTCGGCGGTCTCGCCTGCATAACGCAATTCAATATGATAAACCAGAACGTCAATGACGTAGCGCTCATCCGCATCTCGCAACAAGAAATATCGTAAATTTTATGTGGTACACTTTTGAACTGGTCAAAAAATAACTAGATGGAATTTGACTGCGCACAGTCGAAAATGATGCCTCCGTCATAGGGCAATTTTACAAACCAAAACAAAAGAAATTTTTCAAATTCAAGTTCAATTGTAATCCATTAACAGGTTCTCAGAATATCGTGATTACAAGCAAATTCTCATATACATATATGACCCTTTGATCTTTGACCTCATGACCCTAAAATCTACTCAGTTCATTGACTCTGCAAGATGTCCTGAGTTAAATAGTAATCCATCTGTCAGTTCTAACGAGAATGCATTCAAATGCTATTTTTGCATACATAATGAGCCCATGACCTTTGACCTTATGAACCAAGAATCTACTCAGTTCATTTGCTCTGCAAGATACATAAACGATCTAAGTTTGGCAGGAATCCATCAATCTGTTCTAATGATAATACGATCACCAGCTATTTTTGCATACATAATGAGCTGCATGACCTTTGACCTTGACCTCATGACCCCAAAATCTAATCAGTTCATCAGCTCTGCAAGTAATATACATGACCTAAGCTTGGCAGGAATCCATCAATCGGTTCTTGAGATAACGCGATCACAAGCTATTTTTGCATATATAATGTGCGCTGTGACCTTTGACCTTTGACCTCATGACCCCAAAATCTAATCAGTTCATCGGCTCTGCAAGTAACATACATGACCTAAGTTTGGCAGGAATCTATCAATCGGTTCGTGAGATAACGCGATCATGAGCTGTTTTTGCATACATAATGAGCCCTGTGACCTTTAACCTTTGACCTAGTGACCCCAAAATATAATCAGTTCATTGGCTCTGCAAGTAACATACATGACCAAACTTTGGCAGGAATCCATCAATCGATTCTTCAGATAACGCAATCACGAGCTGTTTTTGCATACATGAGCCATGTGACCTTTGACCTTTGACCTCGTGACCTCAAAATCTAATCAGTTCATCAGCTCTGCAAGATACATACATGACCAAAGTTTGGCAGGAATCCATGAATCAGTTCTTTAGATAACGCGATCACGAGAACGGGATGTACAGACGTACAGACGTACGGACGGACGGACGTACGGACGGA